TCCCTCCTCCCAAAATCTCCCAAACCTCCCCGCGATCAAAAGCCTTCGTTAATCGAACCTCTTGCTTGCCCACTTTCCGCCATGGAATCAGCTTTTCTTCCATTGGAATCCCAGTCCTACTACTTTTTTCACGTTCCGGCGCCGGGCCGTTCTCAACGCCTCTTCTCCGTACTTTCCGAAACTCCCAACGACCAGAGGATGCGAGTTCGTTTTAAGGGAATGGTCGGGGGTTGGAACTGCGCGTGGCGGCAACTCGCCAGAAACTCTGAAGGCGGTGAAAACATGCCGTAAACCCCTGTTTGAATAGTGCGAATCCCTGGGCCCTACTGGGACATGCTCCTAGCTTTCTGCCGCGAGCCCTTCCAAGGCGCCGTTGGGGATTTATAGTTGAACCCAAAAAAAAAAAAAAAAAAAAAATCCATTTCCCAGAGCCCTCCGAAGCCTCTTGGCGGTTAACCAGCCCGTGGCGGAGGGCCGCGTTGTTTTCTTCCCCCCAAACGGCCGAAGTGAACCTCACGTTTACTATATCGGACCACTTATAGCGGAAGCTCAACAATCAGGTTTAGTCACGTGCATGATGTTTTTTTAATAATAATGTTTCCACTTGCTTCGAGATTCAATACAAATTCATTTTTTCTTGTTACGTTTTACTCACACACCCACCACGAATGCCATGGTTGACTCTTCTCGAGACTAGTAGTTGTTCTAACGTGCATCATCAGTGTAGCATTATCTACAGAAAAATATAACATAATTGAAAATAAATAAAAACATATAAATGCAATGTCTTGTTTGAGAGACAGAATCTTATGTCTGTCCAAGAACCTCTTTAAGTAATCTTTTTTGGTACACCCATGAATTTCTGTCCTGATTGTACAGGGTGGTGAACTTTTAAAATTTAAAATTGTTTTGGTTTGTACGAAATCAAGATGCTTAAGGGAAGTGGACAGCAAGGAATTTCTGAAGATGGTTGAGGAACAACCCTAGCAAGAAGCGTGGGGTGTATAAATCTGTGTTTCGGACAAGAGGATCGTGAAAAATCCTGTGTCACAGCTTGAAAGAGTAGCGAAAAGGGTTAGAGAAGAAGTGGGAAGAGATTCTTAGGGTTGTGAAAGGGCCCCTTAGAAGAGGAGGGGAGCAAAGCAGAATAAGGAAGCCAGCAAGCCAGGGGAATGCCCATTCGCCTTGGCCTTCGTGTTGCAAGATGGGTTTCCTTGAGATGACCAAGGAGCGAGGAATGTGGTGAAGAGCCTTGGCCACCCAAAGTGGAGGTAACGAGTTTCTCCGTGAAGTCTGTTGGGGGTTTTTGTGAGTTCCATTGCGGGGTGGAAACTCGGTGTTGGAAGGGGTGGTGGGCGGGGGTGGCCGAATGATTTGCATGGCCACTGTACGCAGAGCAGCACGTGAACAGGGAGGTGATGGTGGGAGAGATGAAGGTGGCTGTTGGCGTGAATCAGAGGGTAGAAGATGGGTTTGTAAGTGCAGAGGAAGTAGAGAAGAGAGTGAGGGAAGTGATGGAGACAAAAGAGATCAGAGAGAGAAGCTTCAAACTCAAACAAATGGCTATGGCCTGCTGTTGCACAATTTGGATCTTCCAAAACAGCACTTGCCAACTTACTTCATTCATGGACTTCATTCGCTTCATAGAAGTGTTGTAGATTTGGTTTAATTGTTCTGTATTATCTTTGTGATAATCTTTATCATATATGATATAATAGCCATATATGTTTATCTTAATAACCAGTCTCCTGTATTATTTTACCATAAATTTCAATTTACTGTGTTAACCAATTTCCTGTCCAACAGAAAAGTTCGATGATTTGCGCAAGAATTCGTTTGCTGCACATGAATTCCTAATAAAATTATAGTTGGTCTGAGAAAATGCAGTTATTAGAAACTGGTGTTAAGATTCCACCTATCATGCAGAATATATAATTCAGGAGTGACTTTTATGAATTTTGAATTAAATGTTATGAAACATTCTACACTTATACTTTTAATTAACATATCACAATATTTGCAAAATTTATATGGAAAATAACTTTATTATTTTGAGTTTTCACTATATCCTACACAAGCTTGGAAAAAGAACTAGAATATGAGCTGGTGTAAACCATCATAACACATAATTTTATGGTTGCTATTAAAGTTAACAAAACTACTATTCATGTAAACCTGTAACCAGTGAAAATGTGAAAATCTCCACCATTTTCTCTTCTTTTTTGTTTTTTCTAAATGAAAAACTTTTCACAAGAAATTGGTAATTTTCTTTCAAATTCCAGAACCTGTGTCTACAGAACTCCATTCATGTCTCAGTTTCTCGTACTATAGCAAGACAACAAATCTAATAACCATGCAGAGGTTTTCTATGTGAATAAAGACTAGGATAACAGGACACTGAGCAAAATTTCACCATTCCAGCAAAAATGATGCGAGTAAAATGTGAAAAACAGAAATTTCAAATAATTCCAGGATTACATTTCTTTCTGAATAAGCAAGAGTACAAATTCACAGCCATAGTAAATGAACATGTTTGTGCAAAATTGAGGCCAATGTTGAAAGTCTAGAATTTAAAGTATACATCACTTCAATCCTTCACTAAGACCCGGTGGCATTCCTAAGCTCTGTGCAAGATCATTCATCCTTTCCTTCATGGCCTACAAACATAAGCAATAACATTCTCTTTCAATTCAATAAACTCAGATGCAAATGAATATTTGTTCTTCCTCTTGAAAATAAGGATTTTTACCAGGACACTCTTCTGGTGTGCATCCTTGTATGCCTCAGTGATTAATAGGGAGAGTTTCTGCAACCCACAAATGTTTAATAATAAATAATAGTTTTGTTATTGGCATTAAACACCACATCAGGATATTTTTACAAATAAAGGGTCATATATGGAAAAGTTTCTTCACATATACATAAGGAAAAAGAATGAAAAGATTAAACGAATTAAACATCTTAGTCAAAACCAACTACTTCCCTTCAAACTTCTATAGAACTAGTTCATTTAACAAGTCCAAAAGTTGAAATGCAAAAGTGTTTTAATTTAAAGAGACAAGTTCAATGCACTTTCTTTTCATATAAATGTATATGGAAAAGTTTATTCAAACAAAGTCCAGATTTAGCATTATTATGGGCCCTTGAGGATCAGGGAAAATGAGAGGAACAGTAATTTTTAGGATTTTAGCAAATATTTCCAAACCAAAACATTATTCTTCACAATTGACATGAATGAAAGAAAGAAACTGTTAGGAGTTGGAGAGTCTATGAAAGGAGGAGGAAGAAGAGTACCGAACAGTATGGGGGTCTGAACGGTTTGTATGGGGTCCGAACGGTATCTATAATAATACCGAACGGTATCTACAATAATACCGAACGGTATCTACAATAATACCGAACGGTATCTACAATAATACCGAACGGTATCTACAATAATACCGAACGGTATCTACAATAATACCGAACGGTATCTACAATAATACCGAACGGTATCTACAATAATACCGAACGGTATCTACAATAATACCGAACGGTATCTATAATAATACAGAACGAAGGCGGTAAGGGAGAGAGAGAGAAGGACCGAACGGTAGGGTGTTGTTAATACCGATCACTAGAGGATGAGTAGAAAATGGCGGGAAAGTTGGTTAGGTTGTTAGGGAGAGAGAAGGAATAACTAGACCTTTGTTTGTCGTTTGAGGGGGCTTTTGTCTGAATAGAAACAGGTCTTGGACCTTGGAGGGGGGTTAGGCTCCCGGATTATCTTTGTATTTAGTTGCAGTAAATACATACAATACATATTACTTCTTTGTTATCTCTTGTTTCTGCGCTGTTGTGTGTTTGAGTATTGTGAGGAAATTAGGTTTTCTAAATCAGAAACCTAACAGAAACTATAATAATGAAAGGACCTAGTACTTAAGCCATTATACTCCAATGGTTTTTGTTATCTTTGAATGTGACAATTTACATGCTCAGTCTAGTTTCACCTGACGAGTGTGCATAACTGGTAAAACAGAAAAAAGAGAATATAAACACAACATCACATGAATTATTTACTTACTTCAGGTCCCAATTCCATAGCTGCCTCAGTAATTTCGGTTCTTACAGGTTGCTGGTTCCCTGACAGCGTTACCTAAAATTATACATAACTAAAAGTAAGTGATCAAAGATAATTATATTTTCAAATTAATATATAATTATTGATAATTTAATGCAAAAATCATGATCATGAATAAGGATAGAAAAACATATCAGTTGGAAAAACTACATTTGGCAAAAATAATGAATGACATTGTTCTTGGAAAAACCTCATCTAATGTATAGTTATAGCTATAGGGTATATAAAATACTGTCACTGATTGTACAAAATAAAATTCCAAGTTTTAACTTTTAGAAGGAAAACTAAATATTGAAAATTGGTAATGTTCCTGGTGCTGAGTCAACCTCCACGTATTTCCATCAAAGACCGATCCGGGTAGAAAAGTGTATAAAGAGGGCAACCCCTTGAAATCTATGGTTTGTATTGTAGACTCAGTTTTCAATTGACTATGTGCTCCTTGGCAAGATGCCTTAGCCATCAAATTAAAGGGAGATCAAAGAGTAAATGATTCTGCAGGAAAAAACTATACCTTCACTAACTCACCATCACAATAACCATCAAACTCTGCTCTGCATAATAGAACAAACGCTTGTTTATAAAAAGAAAACAAGCAAAGCTAAAATTGTATAATAAGAAAGCCATACGCTGCAAGTTCTTTCTGCACCCGCACTGCTTCAACTTGGACAACCATTTGTGCCTTCTTCACAGTCTCGTAAAGATTTTGCATGTTTCCAAGAATTCCTGCCTAGAACGATTCCACAATAAAATGTCATTTGTCAACTATCCAGAATAATTTTTAGGACTCACAACAAAAATACATAGGAATTTTATATTCCTGTATTCACATTCCCAAGTGTCATTGTTCATAGTCGGCATTACTGTTTACCGTCAGCACTGTTGTTCCCCACTAGCTAATTTTCCACTTATGAAGTTGTTGTTCATCATTCATATGACTATTCACAATGAGTTTGTACTGTCCACCGCCAACATTTTTCCGATGAGTTAATTTTTTCATGAAGTCTTTTCCAGTTGGTGTTGCTGTTCATCACAGTTCTCCATGAGTATGGTTTATTGTTGATGTTTTTCTACTGAGTATTGTTCACCATTGATGTTTTTCCAACAAATATGGTTTACCGTTGATGTTTTCCAACAAATATTGTTTACTGCCGACATTTTTCCAACAAGTATTGTTTACCATCAACATCTTTTAGCCAAATACTGTTTGTATTAGTACATTTAATCATATATTTCATTTGGAAGTGATTGATTACCTGATCTCTCTCTCTTAAGTATAAATTGTTATTATTGTGAGTTATGACTGGCTTACTGCTAACTGCTAGTTAATGTAGTGTAGGAGTCAAGTCAAATCCAAGTTGATGATTAAAAAGTTATAATAGTTGATGATTTCATGTTTTCAAAACTATCTTCAGCATCAAGGAAATGTATCTTTTTGCAAACTTATAACCACTTGTTTTATCTTTGTTCTTCAAACCTTGAACACCCTAGAATGAATCAAGTGAGAAACCATTTTTCTTGGACTATATTACTGAGAATAGTTAAATCTCACCCCATTTCTATTTCCATGTACCATGGTGTTCTAGATACATGGACAGCATTCAGGGTGATCCATAAGAGGGAATGACCAAGATTTCCAAGAATGGGAAATCTGATCTTGTGATTCCCCATTGCCCTCCTTCTACCCCTATTACATATTATCATCCTCCTAAATGAGAAATTATATATATTTTAAATCATTTTGGATAATAAAGTATGTTATGGGATGATGTCGTGTTATAACCAATGTACATAGTATCCAATGCATTTAAAAATGTATAGCATGAAAGTTAATCAAGATAGACAGTTGTTTAGGGGCTTCTGTAGTTGCTAGTAGGCACTATAGAGGTGTTTCTAAGACTTGGATTACTTGTTTCTTATAAAAGGAGCATGTTTGTGTAGGGAGTAACCCAGACAAAAGTATTTCTACATTTCACAAATATTACCTCTTGCAAGAGAGTGATGTGTCCAAGACGTGGACACAGCATCAAAATGGTGTGACTGTAATGATCATAATGCTTAGTTCAAATAGCATAAAAATTATGTTCAAAAACCATTACCTTGAATGTGAATGAAATAAGTAATCCAAGGAGAAAGATGTAAACAGAAGCAAATATGTGATCCCGTGAGTATAAACATGACATTGACTGCACTAAAACACTAACCTTAGAAGGAGTATCGTCACTTTTTCCATTATTGTCTTTCTTCCCTCCAAATAAAGCATATAATTGGAAACCTCTTTGGCCATGACCAACTTTCCGACAACCACATCGAGATATTATCTTTAAATCAACTATATTTGAACAGGAGCTTAGTTTACCTATTTAACAACAGCCAACTATGAGTAACTTTTGGATAACAATTCAATTTTGTGAATCAAAAGCAACCATGGACCCACCTTACATAAACTCTTATAATGTTCAAGTTCATCACTATATCATATAAGTAAACATATTCTCAATCAAGAAGGGCAAATTTTAAATCAAGCCTTAACTAACAGAGACTTACATCAACCCACTGTCCATCACATCCGAATCAATACAAAAAAAGATCCCCTCACCCAACAACCCAAAAAGCCACAAATAGATAAACCCCATGAAAATTAAAAATAAGCAAAGAAAAGAACACAACAATTTAGACAAACTAATTGAAACCCCAAAACCAAGCATGATAAAAACAAAAAGACACTGGCCCAGACACGGCAAAAAAGTTGCAATCTTTACGAATCTTGAGATGACCCAAATGAAAATAAATGAACAGAGAGACTCACAAAGAGAGGTTGACAAAGGGGCATGCTTTCTCCAGTCACGGAGTCCGACAGAGTTTGACAAGGCACCAGTGAGAGAAGGCGTGGTTGCCATTGACTTGCAGAGGAGGAAAGAAGAGGTTGGAATTTGGGTTTTTGAAGTGTGCAGAGAAGAAGGATGAGATTGAAATGGGAAGTGTGGTATGATATTGGATAAAAGTGAAACGAGGTTCAGCGGTGATTATGATTTTGTTGTGTCCCACGTTTGCATAGGCATTCAAATCAAAACTTCCATCTTTAATATCTTTGTTTTCATAATTTTTTTAATTTTATTTATTTTTCAATATTTAAAATAAAGACAATTTCAATTTTTGTGTGGTCAAATTAACTTCTTACAGCTCAATGATTTCAAGAGTAACAAAGATAACACTTTATATGATATAGTTTTAAACATTTTGGTATATACTTTTGAAGATTACATTAAAAAATTTATATTTTCGAGACATTTTAAACATTACAACTCAAGATCACATCTTTACATGTGGACAACCATCTATCTTAGCTCTATGTTGACTAAATTACTGTTTATAATTTTAAAGCTTTATTTTCTATTCTTTTATATTTTTCAACCTTATAATTTTTTAGATATTTTATATTGTTTTAAATATTAACATTCGCACATTTATACTTGCTTCTAATTTAAAAAATTTCAAATTATTATTAAATATTTATAAACATTTAATCACTTTTTTATTTATAAATATTGATAATGAATCCAATAAGTTTAAATATATTTTATTTTTAATATAATGAAAAAAAAGTATAATTTTCATATAAAGTTTTTATTTCATCAATTTTATTTAAACTTTATTAATAATTAAATAATTGAACACAAATAGTAATTACCATGTAATTAATTTTAATGTGTAATTAATATGTGAACAAGTTTTTATTGTTTTTACCTTTTACTTTGTAAATTTAAAATTTTTAGAAGTTTTGAAGTTAATGTGTTAATGTTGACAATTACAAAATATTTAATTTTAATTATTGAAGTTCAAACAAAATTAATAAAATTAAAAATTTTACATTAAAAACTTAATTTTATATTATAAAATTATATTTTACGACAAGGTGACGGGATAAAATTATGCTACGATCATATCAAGTTAATAAAAAAAACTAAAAATAAAACTTAATTAGAACATATAAATTTATTGAGCATTAAATAACTTTATTTTTATTTGCATTAGTTAAAACTTTTTATCCGCATAAATATTGTTTTGAAATATTTCAGTTTATTAATAAATATATTCATACTGTCAATAATATTAATCTGAACCTTTTGCAACTTTACAATAATAATTTTCACCTTTTCCATGTTTTTAATATTTTAGCCTTCTCAAATCTTTTATTTCTTTTCAAACTTTTGGTTTTTACATATTAAAGCATTTTATGTTAATTACTACATTTTTTTTCATGCTTTCAATTTCTTTTTTTAAACTTTACTTTTCAGCCTTTTATCTTCAAAAACAATTTATATTGTTTTAAGCGTTAGATTCTCACATTCTATTTTATTACCAATATCATTTTTTTAGTTTTATCGATTTCAACGTTTTATATATTTATAAAAATTATTTTAAAACTTTTCAATATATTAATAAATATGAACACACACACACACACATATATATATATATATATATATATATATTTACTTGTAAAATATTTTTTATGCTATATCTTTTTCAATTTTTTTCATATGTTTATAAACATCAATTTCAAAAATTTTAATCTATTGATAAATATCATCATCAATATTTTATTACATTTTTAGAGTTCCTTTTTGGCTCTTCCATATTTCTTAGACTTTAAACTTCTCAACCCTCTTATATTTTTATTCAAACAAGTTTTATATATTTCAAGAAAATTATGTTAATGTTGTTACAAAATAGCTAAATTCTTATTATTGGTTTCATGCTAGTTATACTTATTATCCTTTAAGGGTTAATCTAGTTGATAAATATCATATTCACATTTTGTAAGATAACCAGACCTTCTTCCTGCACCCCCATCACAGGTTTCCGGAAAGTTTGATCTGGAATAAGGGTGGGAAGAGTGTCTTCCGAGAAGATATTACTGAAATTGATCTAATATGTTCCGGAAAGGAAAATCCGGTTGATGATATGTAGGAAAAATGTTGATGAGGTACAGGAAGAAACAGCCCCAATGCTATTGCCAACTTGGTTGACTCATGGACTTCATTCACTTCCTAGCACCATTGTGAAACTTGTGGTTGATCATTTGATTAGTAGTGTTGTAAAACTGATTGAACTGTTTTGCATTATCTTTGTGATCATCTTCATCACATTTGATGATATAATAGTCATACATATTTTAAAAAACAGTCTCCTGTATTATTTTACCAGAAATTTCAATCTACTGTGTTAGATTAACTAATTTCAAGTTCAACAGAAAAAGTTTGATGTTTTGCATAAGAATTTGTTAGATATATATGAATTCCTGATAAAACCATGGTTGATATAAGAAAATGCAGTTTTATGAGAAACTGTGATTAAGATAAAACTGCATAACAGCAAAATAAGGTATGCAGCTCCTTTGGAAAGATGATCTTGCATTGATTGAATGTTGTTACAAATATTGTGGGTGCATTCAGACATGATGTAAGAATTTGTTGAGGGGTGTTGGAGTTGGAAGTTTTCATAGAGAGGGGAATCAATGATGATGCACTTTATATGAATGGATGGACCACAACTCTACCTGATTCACACTCACGCTTTTCATGATTTTATCAGTTTCTGTTCTCTTGTTGCTTCTTGTTCTGTTTTTTCAATTTGTATCTAAACTGCTCACAGTTCCTGTGATTGTTTGTGTATGTTCACATTAGTGGGAATTTTGATTTCTTTAATCAGAATTTTAGGATGAAGATTGGAAAATGATTCTACCAAGTTCTGCATAATTTCAACGTTTGTTCTTTCAAAAAATAAATAGTAAAAAATAAGTTATACTTTGACTGTCTAAGATTGGTTTACATTTTACCATATATAATATTGACTATTATATATTCCTGACATCAATCAATGCCCTTTAAGTGGAAAATATTTCAAAATTAATTCTAGTCATTGCAGAATTATCAAAATGAAATTTAGCACAATTGTATGGTAGGAAAACTAAAATACCTTTGTGGACATTCGATGGGTGAAAGTTAGATTTTGTTTGACAAACTTGCCTTAAAAAATGTTGTCAGTGGAAACATATGCTATTGACCCTCGTTTTGTAATTGAATTTTGATTAAAAACAATATAAACTAATTATGTTCAAATATTTAAAACCAAAATATTCAACAACACTATGAATCTCAATAATTTTTTTCCATTTTCAGGTCAAACTATTCTATTAGTAAACAAAATGCAAAACAAGTCGTAATAATGTAGACTTTTTTTCTCGCTTGTTAGACAAATGAGTGTGTGATGTCAGTGAAGCAAATGTTGTTATCATTTGTCAAAGATATTGCAAAACAATCAAATAATTGTATAAAGTGTCTTGGTCAATGTTGAATCTAATAAGCATAGTTTCAATGGAGAATAATTCTAAATTAAACACAATCTATCAGTGACATAGCCACTGTTTCTGAAATTGACCTGGATTTGTTGAATGCAATAAATCAGCAAAATAAAACAACATATACCTTTGCTCATGTGATGAAGAATGTCAAACATTACAATGACAGTCTAATAATGAAAAAGTTCACCTATGTATGCCCGAGCATTACACATGTATATATTATATATATGTATGTTATAAGATGTAAAAACATTAGTAATTTCTTTGAAGAAAGAATCAGGGAATGAAATTTTACATGTGAGGTCCAAGGGGCATGCGACTCATGATTTCTTGGTACACTGATGAGCCATTTGGCAGGTTAAGGCCACCACCACGTTCAGGAATAGCCTCTACATTTGGCTCTCCCTTTGGCATCATGAAACCAAAATCGTTTGAAGGACTTTGCTGTTGTTGCTGTGCCAAGAATGGATGAACAGGCATGACAGGGAGCTTGGCTTGCATGTGGCCTAACCCTGACATTGCCAGATTCGATAGCATGTGTTGGTTCATGCCAAAGGAGAAGCCGTGGGAATGTGCTAGCTGCTGTCTTCCAGGTAGGTTGAACGAGCCGAGGGATGGCCTCTCAAGCCTTCCCATGCCATTATGTACTTGAGATGGTTCCGGTCTATGAACATGGCTATGAAGAACACCAGAAGCTTGGTTGGCATTTGACGCGTTAGCATTGACATGGCTACTGGCACGAGCAGCAGGAACATCATGGTTGTGCTTTCCCTCATAAGTGGTGATCACAGATTTAAGGTCATGTGATGCTCTCTCCACATGTTTCCTTACTGTGCAGCCTGCATTTGTGCACTTGTAGTAACTCCTGCAGCAAAACAACTACATTCAGATTTTTACCACAAAAGAAATGATGTATTGTTACTATAATTTCTGTGGTAGAATGACCACCTTGGGTTGGGATTTCCTTTGACAACTTTTTGTCCATACTTGCGCCACCGATAACCATCATCGAGGATATCTACCTCACTGGTAGTTTGTACAACAACTCTAGGCTCACGGATGGCTCTAGTAGCTCCACTCAGGTCTGCATATGATTCCAGTTTCCTGAGAAAATAGATCATTGATTTCAATATGTAAGACAGATAAATATCAGTTTTGCATGAAAAATAAAAGCTAATGGTATGTAAGTACCTTCTCTTGGACTCTGATTCATCTCCTTCCCCATCATAACCTAATGATACACTACCATGAGTGCCTTGATCGTCTTCATCTTCTTCGTTAGAGAAAGTAGACGAGGCATCAACTGCCTCTCCTGAATCAATAAGAGTACCACCATTTTGCGTCTGCAAATTGGACTGGTTGCAGTACTCAGGGCCAATAGATGCTGATGATGTTGCTTCAAGGTTATCGTGCTTCCAGTTAGCAGCTCCAGCTATATTTCCCTTTTGTACATTACCCCAGCCGATGTCACCGTCACCACCATTGTGTAATTCAACATGTTCAGGGTTGTCAACTTGCATGTCAGTGTGAGGGTTAACTGAACCTATGCCTGATCGGCGACTAGGAGGAGGTTTTGGATGGTTGTGCGTTCCCTTGTAGATGATCTCAGTTATGTGGCCTTCGTGGGATCGTTCTACTTTCTTCTTGACCTGACAGTTTGGATGGGTACACTTGTAGTAAC